CCCATTTTAGTCTTTTTCCTTTCATTTTTTTTAAATGACATTTTGCTTTCTTCCAGTATGATATTCTTGATGTCATCCCACAACTCTTTTGGTCTTCTGTCATTTCTGTCTAATTCATCAAATCTTTAATTGAGATGACCTCTAAATTCAGGTGTTATATGTTCAAGGTCATATTTTGGCTCTCATGGACTTGTTTTAATTTTCTTCAGCTTCAGCCGGAACTTGCATATGAGCAGTTGATAGTCTGTTCCACAGTCTGCCCCTAGTCTTGTTTTGCCTGATGATATATGGAGCTTTTCCAACATCTCTTCCCACAGATGAAGTCAGTTTGATTTCTGTGTATTCCACCTGGTAAGGTATAGGTGTATAGATGTTTTTTGTGTTATTTAAGAAAGCTATTTGCAACGAATAAGTCATTAGTCTTTTTAAAATTCTGTCAGCAACCTCCAGCATTATTTCTATCACCAAGGTCATACTTTTCCAACTACTGACCTTCTAACTACTGATATTCCAATCACTAGTAATTATTAGTATATATTGATTATATGTGTGATCAATTTCAGAATGAAGAAGGTGGTAGAATTTTTCAATTTCATTATCTCTGGCTTTAGTGGTTGATGCATAAATTTGAATAATAGTGATGTTAACCTATCACAGATAGAACTGTACTTCATGATAGATCTTGAAATGTTCTTTTTGATGATGAATGTGACCCCATTCTTTTTCAATTTGTCCTTCCCAACATAGTAAACCATATGATTGTCAGATTCAGAATGGCCAATATCAGTCCACTTCAGCTCACTAATACGTATGATAGCAATCTTCATGTGTTCTATTTTATTTTTGACAACTTCTAATTTTCTAGATTCATACTTTGTACTTTCCTATTGCAATGATTCATGGATGTTTGCTTCTGTTCCACTTCCTCTTTATTTGTGCCCCATCAGCGAATGAGGTCCTGAAAGTTTTACTCCATGTGTATGATCATGGTCAACTGTATTTTGCAGAGGCAGCTTTTCCTGAGTCAGATTATGAGTGCCTTCCAACCTCCGGGACTCATCTTCTAGAACTATATCTGACAATATTCTGGTACTGTTCATAATGCTTTCATCTTCTGGCACTATATCTGACAGTGGTATACTGCTAGTTATAAGATTTTCGTGGTCAAACATTCAGAAGGACTTTGCCTCTCCTTCTTCATTTGTCTTAGTCTGGAAGCTCCACTGAAACTTGTCCACCATGGGTGAACCTTCATCTTGTTGTTAAGCGCCATCAAGTTGGTTCCAACTCATGGTGACCCTGTGTATAGGGTTTCCCAGGAGCAGTTTGTGGATTTGAACCACTGACGTTGCAGTCGGGTGCCACACCAGGTGAAACCGCTGGTATTTAAAATGCCAGTGGCATAGCTTCCAGCATCACAGCAACATCCAAGCCACAACAGTGTGACAAATTGACAAATGGTAGAATTTAAACTTAAGCTTATAATATACTAAACATTAATGAAAAAAATTATTTGTGTGTATTTATCATGTGATTTTTGGAAAAGACAACAAAGGCAAATGTCTGATAACCACATGGTTTCTCCTCTAGTAACACTAAAACCACAGGCTTACATCCTTTGGTGTAAATATTCAAAAGTGTTTTATTTACTCTAGTGGAAAATTCTGTCGACTGAAATTTCTCCCAACCTCTAGTCTGCCTTGATTGCTTTGAAAGCTATTGTCTAGGTGAACCTTGCCAATCTTTGACTTAACTTATGGGCACATAGTTTAGTTTACATTGAAAAATAATTTAGCACAAGCCATTGTTGTTTGTAGTTTTAGAATGTTTGATTCAGTAACCCCTTCTCAGTATATTTCATTGGGTAATTTGTTATGCAGATTGCTTTTTGCCCTTTCCTTAAATATGTTGTTGTTGTTAGGTGCCATGGAGTCAGTACCAATTTATAGAGACCTTATGCACAGCAGAACGAAACACTTCCCGATCCTGGGCCAATCTCATTATCGTTGCCACACTTGAGCTCATTGATGCTTCCACTTTGCCAATCCATCTTTCTGGGAGTCTTCCTCTTTTTCTCTGACCCTCCACCCTACCAAACATGATATCCTTCTCCATTTCAAATTAAGTATATGCAGTTATCAGATTATTCCTTTTGGGAATAATTGGAAAGAGGAGCTTAAAATGAAGTTAAGAGTTTGTAGTTACATGAAAACTGTAGGAAAAGGGATGTTTGTTTATAGTGGCAGAAAGAAGCTTGAAAGTGCCACTTGGTATCTTCTTGTTTCTTTAAGTGAAATGTCAGGTAACAAAAAGAAACGAGGCCCTCTAATGTCTTAAAACTTCAGCCTCTCCAGCTGTAAAACATGCTAATATTACGTAAGGAATGGCTTCTAGGGGATCTTCAAATCCATTAGGAACTTTCTTAGTGTCAGTTATATTTCTTTCTTAGTTGTTTGTGAAATTACATTTGTATGTGCAATTATTATTTGATACTAGTGTCTACTCAGTGGCATTTAACAAAAACAGTGTTAAATTGAACTCGATGAAAAAGTGGCTTTTATTTCTATCTAGACTGTGGATTGCAAACTATTTTAGACTAGGTTATTTCAGGAAGTGCAGGTACAAACATACCATAGAAAAACAAATCCTATAAGGAAGCCTGTTGCCTGCATATGACTATGGAAACACTACCAAACAAAAAGAGGCGAGCCAGGGCAAAATCTGGCAAGCAGAGTGTTTTCTGGTTTACTTGTAAGGAAGCTGCTGAGAGAACCAAGGTAGATGATAGCTAACAACAGCTATCAGCAGTGCTATATTGTGTGCCCTCCAGTCTGTTCTGACTCATCGTGAACCCTATAGGGTTTCCAAGATTGGCAGGTGAGTTGGAACTATCGACCTTGAGCTTATCAATGCAGTGCTTATCTTTAACACCACACCAGGATTCATCAGCAGTGTTACAGGAAGCAGAATTAGAAAAACTACAGGTGTTTGTACATTGACTAAAGAAAAGGCAAAAGCAAACAGTTGGATCTCCTTGCTTGAAACACAGTTACAACCTTTTGGCACAAATTGCTACACCTCTTTTGTAAATAATGCAGATTGTAAGCATTTTAGCAGTAACCTAAGCTATTCATTAAGGGGGAGCTCTGCGAACCACAAGGTCAGCAATTCGAAACTGCCAGCTGCTCCGCGGGAGAAAGAAGAGGCTTTCTGCTCCCGTATAGATTTACAGCCTCGGAAACCCTGTTCAGGGTTGCTGTGGGTCAGAACCGACTCGACGGTAACAACAACAACAAGCTATTCATTGGGGAGAAAGCCATGAATTACATTATTTTACCATAATAAAGTTTTTTCTTCTGAATCCCAGGGGGCAACACTAATATTATGAACATAGAAAGCAAGGCTTCTCAACCTAATCACTGTTGGCGTTTGGGACGGGATAATTCTTTATCTGGATCCTCTGGTGTAAATGTTCAAGTGTTTCTCCCTGACCTCTACTCTGGGGACAACACCGCCTCCTGCTTAGAACCACCAACATAATGGAAGACATAATCAGAAAAAAAAGAAAAGCAATAGAAATTATCCACGCAGGCAACACATATATTAAACAATTATAAATTGAGTAATGTACCACTTTTGGCTCAAATATTGACATTTTAGTTGCCTTTCTTACATTTGTATCTGTGAGGGTAAGTCAAAAGGTATCTGTATTATGGTAGTAGAATTTAATCAGCTTTTAAAAGAGACAAATACATTATTTTGCAGTGTAATCTCTTTGCTTTTCAGCACATTTTTTTCCATCTGTCAATAAGCCTTCATATTCCCTTATTAAATGTTTGAGGCTCAGCTGCCAGCTATGAATGCACTACTGTCTTCTCTTCTGCATCATAGGTGAATCTTCATCTTCAGAAGGCTCTTTCAAGGGGACCAAACAGGTGAAAATCCTATGGAGCAAGATCAGGACTAAGTAGAGGATGCTTTAACACTTCAAAATGAAGTTTCTGTAGAGTGTTAACAGTGTGGGCAGAGGTGTGTGGATGTGCGTTGTCATCTAAGATCACAGGCCCTTGGATAGCCATCCTCTGCATTTAATCCCAAATTCAGTCTTTAGCTCTTCAGTGAGTACCTCACTATAACAAACACTGCTGACTGTTGAACTTTTATCCTGATAGTGTTCTAGTACTGGCTGTTGATAATTTCAGAAAATTCTAAGCATCAATTTTCCATCTCATGCTAGAGTTTTGAATTTAGTGATTGCAACTGTTTCCATTCCATACCCTGCCGTTTACTCTCAGACTCGTAGTGATGCATCTATGTCTCGTCACCAGTAACAATTTTTTTTTTTTACTTTTTAGTGTTAAAAAGTTAAAAAATTTAATTGAGTGAAGGTTTGCAGAGCGGATAATTAGTTTTACACTCAATAAATCATATACCTTGCTTCATTATATGGTTGCAATCCCCGCCATGCACCAACAGCATTTACCTCTATTCAATCCCAACTATTGCAGTCCTCCCTGCGTCTCTCCAGTAACAACTTTTTTTTTTTTAAAGAAACTTTTACCTGCCATCGAGTATCAGTCCACATTTTGTTTGTAGCTCTCCAAACGCTTCTGTTTATGCTCTTCTGTGAGTTGTTTCAGTACCCATCTTGTGTAAACTTTTCAAAACCCAAGTCTGTAGTAGATTATTTTAGAGGCAGAGCCATGGCTGATTTGCCACACAATCCACTGTCACTTGTCTATTTCACAGAATCATTGCACATACACGCTCAATGTTATTTTTGACTGTACCATGTATTTTATTTTCCCCCCAAAAAATGAACTATTTTTTCAACAAAATTTTTTAAATCACTTAATTTAAATCATTATTTGTTATTCTAGAAAGTACTACTTTTCTTCAAAGATGCATATTTGACTAGCATGGATGTTTCATAATATTTTCTAATGTTAATACTAGTTTCTTACTAATATCCACTTTACTTTTTGAATCTCTTATTCTAGTGCCTGTGCCAACGAAGGTTAAAATTGAGTCCTATAACATAAATCCTGTTGTTTATTGGGAATATCAGCACACGGTGCCAGCCCCTGTTTTCACTGTGGAGGTAAAGAACTATAAGTAAGTATTAGTGTTGTTTCCTTTGTGTTCTGTTTCTTTTTGGCTCCTGGCACATCCCATAATGCTCAGTGTGTGTTCCCATCATCCTCCCTTGTCAGAGGGCATAACTTTTCAGAACTGCTTATAACCATCCAGAAGTGCTAGCGGTACAAACTCATTCCTTCAGAGTTGTTTTTGGTGTTAAGTGTTGTTGAATCAGTTCTGATACATAGCAACCCTGTATAGGGTTTCAAAGCAACAACTGGTGGGTTTGAACCACCAACCTTGTGGTTAACAATCCAGTGGTTATCCTACAGCGCCAAACCATTACTGCCTCCTGTGTGTATTTTTCTTCCTGTTCATACTGAGGTAGAGGAGTATCACATATTTCTAAGGTTTTAAGGCATGTTTAATAAAACTGACAATTCAATACAGAAAGTAATGTTGTCTACATTATGAGTAGTTGTTGTTATGTTGTTGTTAAGTCCTGTCAAATCAGTCCCAGCTAATAGTGGTTTCCAAGGACCAGCTGGTGGGTTTGAACCACCAACCTTGCAGTCAGCAGTCCAGTGCTTATTCTGCAGCGCCACACTAGAAGTATACTTTATGAGTACGAGAGTATGAAGGTAAAAACTTCAAATGTTTTTTAGGGCAAATTTTAGGTTTGTGTTGTTGTTGTTAAGTGTCGTCGAGTTGATTCTGATGCTAGCGACCCTGTGTAGGGTTTCCAAGGAGTAGCTGGTGAGCTTGAATAAACAACTTTAAGTTTGTGTACCTTGTTTAATTTTATAATTAGCTTACACTTATTTGTGCAAAAGGAATCTAGAGTTTAACAACTCAAGATTTTTTGAACTAGGTGTTTAGAATAAATTTTTAATTAGGGATGTCATGTGGTTTATATAAGTCTTGCTTTTTTTTTTTCCAATTGATTATCTTTGTTGTAAAGGAGCTCTGATAGCATAGTGGTTACGAAATAGGGCTGTTAACCTCAGGGTCAGCAGTTCTAAACTACCTGCTGTTCCATGGGAGAAAGAGGAGGCTGTCTGCTCCCATAAAGATTTACAGCCGCGGAAACCCTGTACAGGGTCGCTATGAGTTGGAACCGACTCCACGGCACATAACAATAACAAACAACATCTTTGTTGTAAAGGAATTGGCAGTACTTCTAACCAAAGATCTTCTCCATCCTATTTTTATTTGGCTCTTTATGTAAGGTGTATACTGCAAATGAAAAGCAGACCACAGAGAAGATTCAAGTTAATCTGTTAACCTTTAAAAGTTACCTTTGTGTTTTGTTATCTTTCCTCATTTTAGGGATGGGGTATGGATTCCTGCTTGTCAGAATATTTCTCTTCATCAGTGTAATATTTTTGAAAAAGTTTATGATCCATCAGAATCTGTTTGGGTCAGAGTTAAAGCTAGAGTTGGACAAAAAGAATCTGCCTATGTGGAGACAAAAGGTTTTGTTGTATGCGAACAAGGTGAGTAAAATGTAACATGTGTAAACTTTAGATTTGGAAATATTTATATAGGTCTTCTGTATATGTTTACTTTTATTAGCAGTTGCTAAAAATTACTAAAATGCCCAAGAAGCTTTTGGAGGATCAGTGTCTTCTGTTTCTTCCAAGCTAAACACAACAGGGCTAAGAGGCAGCCATTATGTTGCCCCCTCTAAGCTGTTGTATTTCCACCCCATGGATCCAAACCCATCCACCTGTACGCTGGCACCATCTTCACTTGTCATTCACTTCTAAGGTATACTTGTAGACTTTAGAGGTTGGCACTTAATCCTCTTCTCTAGCTTAAGTCCTTTGAATGCCTGAGGATATTTTAATACCAACTTAATATCTTAAAAAATGTTTACTTCCTTAATTTCTCCAACCCCAGTATTTTCAGCTCTTCGCTCTTCACTTTTCCAGCATCTCATTGTTACCAGAGTGAAGTACATACTACCCAATGTTTCTTATCACCTCCAATTCCAGAATCTTCTCCTACATGACTATGACATTCTGCCTTGGAGTTCTCAAACCCTGACTCCAGGCTAGAAGAAAACTTCTAGTCACTTTGTTGTTGATAGGTTCTGTGGAGTCGGTTTTGACTCATAGTAACCCTATGGCAGACCATGGCAATTTCAGTATTCTTCCCCAAATGCATTGATTCTTCTGTGGTCTTGCCTAGCTCGGGTCAGGTGCACCTAAATACTCATATTGACAGGTTTGCTATTAACATTCTGAAGAGGTCTTTTGCAGTGGATCTGCCTAATACAGTAAGCCATTTGACTGTTGTTTCTGAGTGTTGATTGTAGATCTGAGCAAAATGAAGTCTTTGACATTCCATCTTTTCTTCATTTATCATGTTATATATATCTGTCCAGTTGTGAGGATTTTCATTTTATTTACATTGAGGTGAAACCCACACTAAAGGCTATAGTATTTGACCTTCATCACTATTTCAAGTGTTCTGCATTTCCAGCAAAGGAGTTCTGGTAGCGTAGTGGTTACGAGTCAAGCTGCTAACCTCAAGTAAGCAGTTCAAAACTACCAGCGGTTCTGCATCAGAAAGGTGAGGCTTTCTGCTCTCATAAAGATTTACAGGCTCAGAAACCCTATCCAGGGTCACTATGAGTCAGAACCAACTCCCTGGCACATAACCATCAACAACCATCATTTCCAGCAAGCAAGGTAGTCTCTTTGCATTATCACAGTAGTTAATGAGTCTCCAATCCTGAAGCCTCATTCTTCTTCACATAATCCAGTTTCTCACATTATTTGTTCAACATACAAGATTCAGTAAGTTTGGTGAAGAGATAGAACTTCGGCACAGACCTTTCCAATTCTAAATCATTTCAGCATTTCCTTATTCTGTTCTAACAGCTACCTTTTGTTCTATGTACAGGTTCCACATGAGCATAATTAAGTGTTCTAAAATTCCTGTTCTTCTCAATATTATCTGTAGTTTGTGATGATCCACACAGGCAAAAGCCTTTGCACAATCAATGAAGCACTAGTAAACATCATTCTAGTATACTCTTGCTTTTAGCCACTGACATCAGCAGTGATATCCCTAGCTTCATGTTGTTTTCTGAATTCTGGCCGTACTGGTGCAGCCATTTTCAAATTATTTTCACCAAAATTGTACTTGCTTGTAATATCAATGATACTGATCGATGACTTCCACATTCCACTGTGTCACCTTTCTTTAGAATGGGTACAAATATGGATCTCTTGCAATTGGTTGACCCATTTGGTCACTTTCTACCAGATTTGTTGGCATAAGTGAGTGAGTGCCTCCAGCACAGCATCAGTATGTTAAAACATTTCACTTGATATTCCATCACTTCCTGGAGACTTGCCTTTCACTAATACCATCATTGCAGCTTGGACTTCTTCCTTCATTACCATCAGTTCTTTATCATATGGTACCGCTTGAAATGACTGAGCATCAACCAATGCTTTTTGGTCCAGTGACTATGTTACTGTAATCCTTCCATCTTTGGTGCTTCCTACATCATTCAGTATTTTACCATAGAATCCTTCAACATAGCAAGTCGAGGCTTGATTTTTCTCTTCAGCTCATTCACCTTGAGAAATGAGGAGCATGTTTCTTCCCTCTTGGTTTTCTCACTGAAATCTTTGCACATTTCATTATAATAGTTGACTTGTGGCCTAACGTGGTCTATTCAGGAGAATGTTCCATGTGTACTAGAAAAGAATGCATATTGTGCTTTGTTGGGTTGAGTTATTATTATTATTGTTGTTAAGTGCTGTCAAGTTGGTTTTGTTTTATAACAACCGTGTATAGGATTTTTGAGGCGTGACTGGTGAATTTGAACGACTGACATTGCAATTCAAACCGACTTTGTGATCCAGTGCATTATCCCAAAGCGCCATGCCAGGACTTAAACACTGTTAATGTAGAATTGTCTGTTTCTTTCTTCAGTTCTATTAGAGTTTGATGTATGTATTTTGGTGGTCTTTCATGAGGAGCATGGGTATTTATTATGCTTATGCCCTCTTGTTCAACTGACCCTTTAATCGTGAGTTAATGCCCTTCTTTGTCTCTTATGCTGCTTTTTGCCTTAAAGTTTATTTTATTAGCGATTAATATTGCTACTCCTGCTTGTTCTTTATTGCAATTAACTTGGTATGTTTTTTCCATCCTTTAATTCTTGGTCTGTTTTTATCTTTGTGTGTATGGTGTGTCTCTTGTAGACAGCAAGGATCCTATTTTCTTATCTGTTGTGTTACTCTGCTCTTCACTGGTGGCATTTAGTCCGTTGACATTCAGTGTAATTATGGATAGGTATGAATTAACTGCTGTCATTATGCTGTTTGTTTTTTATGTTGCTGCTGTATTTTTGTTCTGTGTGCTTTCCTGTACTGAGTTCATTATTTTGTGTATGCTTTTTGTTGTCAATTTCTTTATAGTTTTAATGTTTCCAAAATCTTCTTAGATTTTTGCTTTGATACGGAGATATATTAAGTTTCTTTGGGATTACCTGTACTTTATTAATTTCTTCCTCATATTAAAACAGTCTGTTTTATCCTGAAATCTACCTGACCTCATCACTAATTCAATTTAATCACTGTTACTATACTTTTCCCTTGTTTGGCTTTGTAGTTGTCCTGGTCATAGACTGACTCCCCAAACCCTTAATTTCATTCTTGTGGTTTTGTTCTGCTCAGGCCTCTTCCATATCTGGACTGAGTTATGGGTGGTATTGCAACATATGTCAGTCTCTGGTTGTTGTCTGTTCTTGTTGGTCCTCAGTCCAAAGAACTCCCTTTAATATGTTTTGAAGTGCTGGCTTGGCTTTTACAAAATCTCTCAATTTCTGTTTATGCTGAAAAGTTCTGATTTTGCCAACATATTTTATTGGTAGCTTTGCTGAGTATATTAATTTTGTTTGGCAATTTATTTCTTTCAGTATTTTGTATATGTCTCCCCATTGCCTTCTTGCCTGCATGGTTTCTGCTGAGAAATCAGAGCTTAATCTCATTGGTTTTCCTTTGTAGGTACCATTTCTTTTTATCCTAGCTGCTTTCAGGATTCTTCCCTTGTCTTTGATATTGTAGAGTTTGATTATAATATGTCTTAGTGATTTCCTTTTGGCATTTATCTTTCTTTTTTGTTCAATTTCTTGAATGCTTATCTTTTCATCCTTCAAGATGTTAGGGAAATTTTCTTCCAGCAGCTTTTTGACTACCTCTTCTGTGATCTTCTTTGTCCCTTCCTGTCTGGAATTCCAGGCACCCGGAGGTTATTCCACTTCATGTTATCTCACATGAGTCTTAGGCTTTCTTCAGATTTTTTTCATTCTTTTTTCTGTCTTAGCAGTACTGAGAGATTTATCTTCAAGGTCATGACTTCTGGCTTCCATCCCTTCAATTGTACTCCTTTGCCCTTTCAGTGTATTGTCCATTTCTGATTTTTAGTATTGATCATCTAGACCTTTTTTACAGATTGTGTATTGTCTCCAATGCTATATCTATTTTGTTCTTGACTTCTTCCTTATTTTCTTCCTCCTTTCTGTGGAACATTTGGATGCACTTCGATAGCATTCTACCACAAAAATCAGACCTAGCTATTCATCATTTCAATACATTTCTTTGATGCTTAAGACCTTGCTGATAAGCTAATAGTAATCCATTCTTCACATTTACTGAGCATATACTTTGTGCCAGACAGGTCTTTTTTAATTTTCTACTTTTTTGTTTTGTTTTCCCTTTAAAAAGTAAAAATTATGAAAAATTTTTAAGCATTCAGACAAGAAAATGTTATAATGACACCATATAATTAAAAATAAGGTTTAATAATTTGTAAATATTTTATCATATCTGCTTCATCAATCTTTTCTACAGAAATACATTTTTCCTAATTGTTCCAAAGCTATTTTTTATAGCTGATATGTTCAAACCAAATTTCAGTCAGAGATTATATATGTTGCATCTGGTCTTTGGTCTTTAGTGTTTAATGTATCAGATCTGTTCTTCAGATCTCTAAATTCAGGTGGGATAAATTCAAGGTCATATTTTGGCTCTC